TTTTTTTTTTTTTACCTTGTATCCCTCGTGCCTGGGACACAGTCATGCTCGATAAATGTTGAAAAAGAATAACTGATTGGAGGAAACAAAGGCATTGGACTCAGTGGGGTGGAGTTGGGGGGGGTCACATGTCTGGAAGAGGGGATGGCTGAGTGAGGACTTGAAGGAGGAGCCTGGAAGTGGGCCACATGTGCAAAGGCCCCGAGCATGGTGCATGTGGGAGCAGAGGGAAGCCAGGTGGCTGAAGCTGAGGGAGCGGAGATAGGACACCATGTACGAGGAGCTGGAGGGGTGGGCAGAGTCCAGGACAAGTAGGACCCTGTCACTCTCAGGGAGGAGGCGGATTTGCTTCTGAGGCAGTGGGGAGCCACGGAAAGGCTTTGAGCAAGAGAGTGCCATGACTTGGTTTGCCTTAAGTTTCACTAGGATTCCCTCAGTGGAAGATGGATTCACTGGGTGCAGGGGTTGCAGGGGCAGACGGGAGACCAGAGAGAAGGCCACTGCAGCTGTCTGGTGAGAGCTGAGAGCTGATGGTGGCCTGGGATGAGGAAGTGCTGGCAAGGATGGAGAAGTGACAGACTCAGACATGGTTTGGAGGTAAGATCACCAGGACTGGTAACAGCAGCCACAGCGCAGTTCTGGTTCTCAAATTCCCTTTTCCAGGCCTTCTAAATCATGGCCCCTTCTCCAGCCCTCCCCAGTTCCCAGCCACAAAGATGCTCAGCTATTCACAGCGGCCAAAGGCGGGAACGACAGAATATCCCTCAAAGGATGAAAGGATAAACAAAATGTAGCGTATCCGTACAGTGAGATATGAGTCAGCCATAAAGAAAGGAAGCACTGATAAATGCTGTGATGTGGACGGACATTGAAAACACTACGCTAAGTGAAAGAAGCCACGCACAAAATGCCCCATATTGTGATTCCACTTACATGAAATATCCAGAATAGATAAATCTATAGCAACAGAAAGTAGAAGCAACATACTGAATGTGAGAAGATATTGCCAAATGATATATCCAATGAGGGGTTAATATCCAAAATATACAAAGAACTCACGCAACCTAACACCCCAAAACCAAATAATACAATTAAAATAGGCAGAAGACATAAATAGACATTTTCCCAAAGAAGACATACAGATGGCCAATAGACACATGAGAAGATGCTCAATGTCACTCATCATCAGGGAAATGAAAATTAAAACCACAATGAGATATCACCTTACACCCGTTGGAATAGACAACAACAACAACAGCAGCAACAAGAAATAACATGTGTTGGTGACGATATGGAGAAAAAGGGACTCTCCTGATGGTGGGAATGTAAATTGGTGCAACCACTGTGGAAAACAGTGTGGAGATGCCTCAAAAAATTAAAAACAGAAATACAGTATGATCCAGTAATCCCACTACTAAGTATTTACCCAAAGAAAACAAAAACACTAATTTGAAAAGATATATGCATTCCTGTATTTATTGCAGCATTACTTATAATAGCCAAGATATGGAAGCAACCCAAGTGTCCATCCAGAGATGTGGTGTATATACATAATGGAATATTACTCGGCCATAAAAAAGACTGAAATCTTACCATTTGCAACAACATGGATGGACCCTAGAGGGTATAGTGCTAAGTGAAATAAGTCAGACAGAGAAAGACGAGTATTATACAATTTTACTTATATGTGGAATCTAAAAAACAAGACAAATGAATAAACAAATAAACAACAACAAAAACCAGAAAGAGATCCCTAAATACAGAGATCCCTAAATACAGCTGCTAGTGGGGGAGGGGGGGTTGGAGATGGGCGAAATGGGTAAAGAGGAGTGGAAGGCACAGGCTTCTAGTTATGGAAGAGTAGGCACAGGGATGAAAAGGACAGCACAGGGAGTATAATCACTAATATTGTAATAATGTTGCATGGTGACAGATGGTGGCTACACTTGTGAACAGAGCATAAGTATGGAGTTGTTGAATCACTATGTTGTACACCTAAAGCTAATGTAGCATTGTCTGTCAACTATACTTCCATGAAAAAAAAAAAGACAGAAAGTAGAATGGTGGTTGCCAGGGGCTGGGGGGAGGGGAGAAAGGGGAGTGACTGCTAATGGATGTGGGGTTTTACTTTGGGGTGACAGGAAGGTTCTGAAACTAGATAGTGTTGGTGATTAAACATCATGAATGTACTAAATGTCACTGAATTGTTTCTTTTATTTTGTGCTGGTGACTTTTTTTTTTAAGATTTTATTTATTTATTTATTTTAGAGAGAGAGAGAGATTGAGACCATGCACATCAGAAGCAGAGGGAGAAAGAATCTGAAGCAGACTCTGCACTCAGCATGGAGCCTGATGTGGGGCTTGATCTCATGACCCTGAGATCATGACCTGAGCCAAAACTAAGAGTAGTATGCTTCACTGACTGAGCCACCCAGGCGCCCCTGTGTTGGTGACTTTTTAAAGCTGGGAGCTGTATCTTTTTTCTTTTCTTTCTTTCTTTTCAGCTTTATTGAGGTATAATTGACAAAATAAAATGTAAGATATTTAAAGCATATATCATGATGATTTGATATATATAAACATTGTGAAAAGATTCCTCTCCCCTAGTTAACACATTCATCAATGTGTTTTAGTGTTTCTTTTTTGTTTTTTTTTTCTTTTGGTGAGAACATTTAAGTTCTACTCTCTTAGCAAATTTAAATTATACAAACTGTTATCAACTAGTCACCATGCTCTCTCTCTCTCTCTATATATATATATACTTAAAGATTTTATTTATTTACTTGTCAGAGAGAGAGAGAGAAAGAGCACAAGCAGGGAGAGTGGCAGGCAGAGGGAGAAGCAGGCTCTCACTGAGCAAGGAGCACAATGTGGGGCTCGATCCCAGGACCATGGGATCATGACCTGAGCCGAAGGCAGATGCTTTAACCAACTGAGCCACCCAGGCATCCCTCACCATGCTACATATTATGTTTACTTTAAAATGGTTAATTTGGGGGGCTCCTGGCTGGCTGGCTCAGTTGGTGGAGCATGCAACTCTGGATCTCCAGGTTGTAAGTTCAAGCCCTATGTTGGCTGTAGAGATTACTCAAAAAATAAACATTTTTTTATATAAATAAAATGATTAATTTTTTGTTACGTGAATTTGACCTCAATTAAAATTAAAATAAATAATAAGGAATTTTAAAAAAAGGATGCCAGGTGGTTGCTTTCTGCTTTCTGTCTCTTTCACCCATGCCAAACCCCAACTGCTGCATGAGGGGCTCTGAGAATCAGATTCACAGACTTCTGGGAGAATTGCCCCACATCAAGACCCAGAAGCCTTTGTCCCTGGCATTTTCCTTATCTGGCGAGTGTCTACATTTGCGGAAATGCCAGCTAGCCTTTCTTGGCTAAAGAATTACAGCAGCATCAGGTATAGGTGGATTCAGGGGCTCAGCCACTATCAGATACCTTTAGGTACCTGTCTCTCTCCATGCTGTGGGTCTTGGTCCTACTTTCCTCTGTGCTGGCTTCCCTATCAGGTAAGCTCTAGAATTTAACCACTCCTCTCCACCCCCAGTGCTTCTGCTTTGCTCTAAGTGACCACCATCACTTGCTCAGACTACTATAATAGCATCCTCCATCTCTCGACACTACCCTTCTCTGTATAGTCCATCCTTCTCATGGCAGCTAGGGACCATGTTGAACCTAAGATAGACCATGTTCCTCTCCTGTTCTCAAAACCCTCTCATGGCTCCCCATTCTTCTCAGAGTAAAAGTAAAATCTTTCTTATGATCCATTAGGCTCTAAGCAGCCTGGCTTTACCAATACTCTCTGACCTCATTTCCTATTATTATTTCACGTGCCCGCTTGGCTGCAGCTCCATTGGACCTGCTTCCTGTTCTTCAAACATGCTTGGGATGGTCCCATCTCAGGGCCTTTGCACATGCTGTTTCCTCTGCCTGGGACAATCTCCTGGACATCTACATGGCTCTCTCCCTCACTTTATTCAGGTCTCTGCTCCTCGGAGAGACCTTCTCTGACCACCTTGTCTAAAATCTCACTCCCATTCTTTCTATTTCACTGCCATGGCTGATTGTCTTCCTAGCACAAATCATTTCCAGAACTCAGTTGTTGACTGATTAAGGAAGAGTGCCTGGCACACAGTAGGTGCTTAGTAAGAGGCTGTAGGATGAATACATGATCGTGGTCTGTCCTGTTCCTCTCTTGTCCTCAGACTGAGTCCTGGATGGTGGCAGCAAAAGCAGGAAATAAAACAAAGGTCCACGAGGTAGAACTGTGTTCTTTTGGGTGGAATAAAAAGAACTGCAGTTCCTGTTTGCTGAAAGCACCTACTGTGTGCCATGAACTTCATATGCGATGACCGTCTTTATTTTACAGGTGAGGACACAGAGACCTAGAGAAGTGAAGTGACTTCTCAAAGGCCCACAGCAATCAAATGGCTCAGTGGGACCTGAACCCACGCCTTCCCAATCCAGGACTTTCCCTCTTCACTGGGACAAGGGGAAGGGTTGCCAGGCATCCTGTGCATATAATACATTCCTCTACTGACTTTGTCAAAACGCCTTAAATGTGCTGTATAGTGTTTTTTTTTTTTCAATAAATTACAAATTTTCAGCAGAGTTGTTTTTCAGATTTAGCTAGGAGCTAAATTTGCTAAATCTGGCAACGCTAGCCAGGGAGGAGCTCCGACTCAGGCCTAGGGCTGCAGCGACTGGTCCCGCCCACGACCCCAGATCCTTTTTCCAGGCAAATCCGCCGCCTGTCCTTACCCCTTGCAGCGCGTTCGGTCTCCGGGCCCTAGGCCTCTTTCCTGGGATAGGACACGGGGGATTGGTGAGTTAGGCGCGGTCCCTTTAAGAGTGGTTTCGGAGGGCGGGCCAACGGGGGCGTGTCGAACCGAGGGGGCGTGTCGAGTCGGCGCTGGCCAATCTGGGGGCGGGACGAAGGCGGGGGCGTCCCCGGCGCGGGCGGGTTGGGAAGGGTTAAAGGGGCGCGCCCGAGGGTCGTGCACCGTCCGGCTGCCCCCGCCTCCTTCCGTCCGAGTGGCGCTCTCCCGCGGCTGCGCCAGCCGGGCCGCCCCGGAGACAAAGCGCTGCCGCTGCCGCCGCAACCGAGCGGGTCCCGGGCCATGGCCGGGCGGCCCCCCGGCCCCGCGCCTCCCGTCCCGCCGCCGCCGCCGCCTCCCTAGGCTGCACGGCGAGGTAAGGCCGGCCTGGCGAGGGGGGACCTGCGGGTGGCCCTGCGAGGGGACGCGAGACCGGGCTCGGGGCCGTCGTGGGCCTCGGGGTCCCCGGCTGTCTGGGGAGACCTCTGCTGGAGAGAGCTGCCCATCTGCGATAACACGCCACTGGTAATTTACCCATTAGGTACCCCAGGGACCGAGCTTGGCCGACGATCCCCGCCCCATAAGGGACCTCCGCCAGTGGTGGAACTCTGGCTCCCACGTTCTGCGGGGAACCACCTCATCTGGGGCTCTGGCTGTCCTTTAAGGAACACACCAGACACAAAGGGGACGAAGGCAGCCAGGAGCAGTGCCAGACCTGGAGAACCAGCCTCTGCAATGGGCAGCAGGGCTGCCTCGAGCCTGGGGCGGGGGTCCTGGCGTCCCTGTTGGCCCCCGCTGGAGAGGCGCTCTTCTTCGGGGTTCTCAGCACGTTTTTCTGCCTGTACCTGCCACACCCTCTCCCCCATGCCCACTGTTGGGGACACTTGTGGCAGCTGGACTCAATCTCAGCACCTGTGGTCTGGCTTCTTGAATTGAATGCCAAAATGCCATGCCTCAGTTTCTCCAGAGTCCTGGGTTCTGGGCCAGCTGTGTCCTTGGAGACCTTGAGCTAATTATTTGCCTTTTGGACAGCATCTTTCCTGAGCGCTCCCTACCTGGTAAACATTTTGCAGAATGGCTCCTCCGGATTTATTCAATCCTTCCCAGAGGGATGGATATTAATATGCTCATTTTATAGATGAGGCTCACCCCAGCTCGCAGTGGCAGTGCTTTCGGTGCCTTTCCCATAGTTTGCCAGTGGGTTTTCCTCATTCTAGCCCATCGAACCCACTCCATGGCCTGTTTGACAGATGAGGAAACAGGCTAGGGAAGGTGAAGTGATATTCTTTAGGTGGAGGGGAGAACTTGGCCCTGGGACCAGAGAGAGGCCAGGCTCTCTCTTGCTTCCTGCCTGGCCAAAGACTGTTGAATCAACAGCACTACCCACAGTGGACTCTGAACTTCTTAGAAAACAGCATGAGTGTGAGGAGATAAGTGGGTGACCAGGCCCTCCCAGAGACGAGCCCGCACCCCTGCTGCTTCCTGCCCTCCCTCTCCCCCCCCCCTTTTTTTTTTTGCTGGGCTGGAGGAGGTAAGGGCGATGGGCAGAATGGGGTTCTGTGCTGGCCGGTAACCCTGGGCCAGGCTGGCCCCATCTGGGCAGTAGGGGAGGATGGCTGCTGAGCCATGAGGGAAATTGCTCTTCCTTGGGCCTTAATGGGGTGGGGACATCCCAGGATCAGCCCCTTTGTGCTGGTTGCCTGGAGCCTGTGACTCTGGGCACAGCATTGTGCCTTTGGGCAAGTTACTTAACCTCTCTGTCTCCATTTTCCACATCTATGAATGCGGGTTGATGAACAGATCCCTTCTTATGGGGCTGTAGAGAGATTTCAGAAGATAACTGTCTGATTCATTCTACAGGTATTTGAGCACCAACTGCATGCCGGGCACTGGAATTCAGGCAAAAACCCCCTGTCCTCCTAGAGTAGGCAAAGATGACCCAGGTAATTTCAAGTTGGGGTGTAGGAGAGTGACTGCGGGGGGAGGGCCTTGCATACTGAAGGTCAAGCTGAAACTGAAGGATGAGAAGTCAGCCATGTGAAGATAGGAGAAGGGCATTCCAGGCAGACGGAACAGCCAGGGCAAAGGCTGGTGTGTTTGAGGAACAGCAAGGAGGCCAGGGTGGCTGGAGCTTAATGAGCAAGGGGGAAGAGGTTGGGGAAGGGCACTTGGAAGCCATGGGGAGGACTGAATTTAATACTGGGACAAGTAGGGAGTCATGGGAGTGTTTAGAGTAGAGGAGGGGTGTGGTTGGACTTATCTTAACAGGATCCCTCTGTGGGGAATGGATTGTAGCGGGGCCAGGGGAGGGGCCAAGGAGGGAGTTTGGCTCTTACCCTGAAGAACAGGGGCAGGGAAGGGGCAAGAGTGGAGGCAGGGAGACAGTGAGGAGGCTACTGCAGCTGTCGAGGCGAGTGACGATACGGACCAAGGACGGGGAGGTGGTAGAGGTCAGAGATATTAGGCCACTGATTTGGAAGAGGTTGGGATGGGGTGGGGGGATCAACTGGGCTTGATGAGTGCAGAGTGGGGTAGGGGGAGAAGGCAAAGCCGTTTGCTGTGACAGAGAGTGCTGAGGGGAGCATTTGGCCAGGCTGAGAGGAATATCAACATTGCCACTGCTGCGTGTGTAGTGTGTGTCCAGCACCATGCTCAGCACCTTCTACAGAGTCACTGTGTCATATCACAGCACCCTGACGTAGGTGCTGTCATGATCCCGTTTTACAGATGTGGAAACAGAGGCCCAGAGAAGCTTAAAGCTTGTCCAGGGTCACACAGCCTGGACACTACAGAGCTGACGTTTGAACCCAGAGAAGAGCAAGCCGATACCAGACTGGGCAGAGGGCAGGGAGGCAAGCAGTGGCCTGCAAGGTAGGAGGGTGATGGGGCAAGTAGGGTGGGTGGTTCCTGTGAGAAATGGAGCCAGGGTCCACATGGAGTTGTTGGGGGTGTGAGGGAGAATGCATGAGTCCTGTTTTGCAGAGAGGGGAACTGAGGCTCAGAGCAGGGCCACGTGTCTGAAGTCACTCAGCTCAGGTAGGCAGAGCAGGGATTAAACACCCTAAGCCCTCAGGGCCTCTCTCTGACCTCTCTGCGCCACTGCTAGGTCAAGACAGGCTGATCTCAGCTACTAAATCATAGCTCGTGTTGCCTCTTCCAGGAAGCCTGCCTTGACTGCTCAGGCAAGCTAGATGAGGTGGATTCAGTTGGGAGCAATCGTTCCTCTCTGCTCTGGGTCAGGTTGCCTGGCTTGGCAGATGCTCCCAGGAGAGTCACCAGCCATACCTCATTCCTCCAGGCCTTGAGTAAGGCAGCACCCAGGCTGGGGAATGAACATTAATTGAGTACCTTCTGCAATCCAGGGACTTTACATGCTTTGCCTCTTGAAAAATACAGCTACTATCCTATGCAGAGTGGTGCTGTGAAGCCCAAACAAAGTGGCCATGAAAAACTCCCAAGGGAGGGTACAGCTATGTTGGGGGTCCAGGTTCCACCTCCCAATTAGTCCCATCTGGCCAGTGTTGCCCCCATCATGTACTCCTTGGGGGAAGGTGGATAAATATCACTGGGCCAAGTGTATAGAGTTAGAGTCTTCCGCTTTAAGTGGGTACCTGGTGCTCTCCCCATTCCCTTTCTATAAAAAAGCCCTGGGCCTTTAATCTGGGTCACTTCATAATAGTCTTTTCTGCCTCTCCCCTTGCCCCTCTGCTCTGGCCTCACCAGCCTCCTGGCTGTTCCTCAAGCGCAGCAGTGGGTTCCTACCTCAGGGCCTTTGCACTTGCTCTTCCCTCTGCTTGGTATGTCCCTGGGACTCCCTCCCTCACCTCCTTCAGGTCTCTGCTCAGATGTTACCTTCTCAGTACAGCCTTTCCTGACTCCCATTAAAGTCAAACATTCCTTTTGTCCCTAACACCCCGGCCCCTTCCCTGTATTATATTTTCTAAAGCACTGAAGACCACCTGGGAGATGTACTTTACCTGTTTGTTAATTGTCTGCCCCTTTCCCCTGCCACTAGCATAGCAGTACCCTGAGGGCAGAGACCCTCTCTGTCTTGTTTATGGTTGTACTCCCAGTGCCTGGAACAGCACATGTGGGTGTTTAACAAATGTTTGATGAATGAAGGCCCTGCAGATAAGTTCTGTTCATGTCCCCGTTTCATGATGGGCAAATCAAAGCCGAGTTATAAAAGCAGAGCTGGGACCTGGAAGGGACCACAAAGCGACAGCCGGTCTGGTTTCTGGGGATGATGAAAACATCCACCCCTGAAATGCGGCCTGGGTTTGAATTTCAGTTCTGCCCATCTTGCTTTGTGACTGCCTGAGAGTGACCAGCCTTTCTGTCCCTTGTTACCCCACCTGTCAAATAGGGGTGGTGCGAGGCCCTGCCCACCGGGGTTTGCTGCGAGATGAAATGAGTTAGTACGTGTAAAATGCTTGGCCTGCAGAAGTCATCCTCCACCTTACCTTGCGGAGGCTTCTGGGGCCGGTGAGCCCCGAGTTTGGGCCTCGGCTCTGCTGAGGAGCTGCGTGAGCGTGGCCAGGCCGCTTCTGCTCCAGGAGCCTCAGTTTCCTCACCTGTGCGAGGGGCGTTGAGGGCCGCCGGTGGCCGAGGGTGGTCGCGAGGTCACGGCGAGGCGCGGCGGTGAGGGTGGTGGTGGGGGGGGGGGTGGAACCCGGTGGCGGTGGCCATGGGAGTCACGGCTCGCTGTCCTGGGGGGGGGGACAGGCCCCGGCGCGGCCGCCATGAAGCTGAACGAGCGCAGCCTGGCCTTCTACGCCACGTGCGATGCCCCGGTGGACAACGCGGGCTTCCTGTACAAGAAGGGCGGCCGGCACGCGGCCTACCACCGCCGCTGGTTCGTGCTGCGCGGCAACATGCTCTTCTACTTCGAGGAGCCGGCCAGCCGCGAGCCCGTGGGCGTCATCATCCTGGAGGGCTGCACCGTGGAGCTGGTGGAGGCCGCCGAGGAGTTCGCCTTCGCCGTGCGCTTCGCGGGCGCCCGGGCGCGCACCTACGTGCTGGCCGCCGAGAGCCAGGCCGCCATGGAGGGCTGGGTGAAGGCGCTGTCGCGGGCCAGCTTCGACTACCTGCGGCTCGTGGTGCGCGAGCTGGAGCAGCAGCTGGCCGCCATGCGGGCCGGGGACTGCCCGCCGCCGCCGCGCCGGCCCCGCGCGCTCCCGCCCAAGGAGAACGGCTGCGCCGTGTGGAGCGCCGAGCCGCCGCCCCCCGCCCCCGCCCCCGCCGCCGCCGCCGCCCCCGCCCCCGCCCTCGGGCCCGCGGGCGCCGCCGGCTCGCGGCCCGGCCCCGCGCCGCCGCCCCTGCCGCCCCTGCCTCCCCGGCGGCGGGCCTGGACCCCCAATGGGCCTCCGCACGCCGGCTCCTTTGCCCGGCTGCACGAGTGGTACGGGCAGGAGGTGAGGGCGCTGAGGAGCCAGTGGCTCGGGGGCCGGGCCCAGCCCTGAAGAGCTGAGCGGGGCGGGCCAGCCCTGCGCTCGCCCCGGGGGGCGCTGGTTCTGGAGGGAGCGCAGCCCCAGGCCTCGCCCTGACAGCCCCTGCCCTGGGAGATCGGAGGGGTGGGGTGCGGGGGCCTGGTTTCCGGGCCCCGGCTCTGAGAAGATGCTGGGTTCCGAGGGGTGCGTTAGGACTTGTGGGACTCAGAGGGGGCCACGTGCCGCTTCTGCGGAGCATCCAGGGCCTCGTATCCAGAGAACTCGGGCCGCACGCCCCGCCAGAGTCACCCAGCAAAGGCCTGTTGCTGGTAACAGGCGCCCCGCTGGGGTGACTGCGACCACGGGAGGATCTGGGGCCTGAAAATGCCGGGTCAGCCCTGGTCCTGGCCGCTCGGACTGGACCTGAACTTGGACAGACAGAAGCCTTGGCCGTGGGGCACCACACCTGGGCTTGACCTCCTTTTGCTCCGGGGCCTGGCTCCAGGCCGCCTGCCTGGCTCCAGAAGCAGGTGCAGAAGGCGGCGCAGGCGCAGGTTTTACTGCCTGACCGGTATGGTGAGATTGCCTGGTCCCAAGGGCTCTTGGCTTGGAGTGGGGTTGGAGGCAGGACTTTGCCCTGGGCCTCAGCCAGGCCTTGAGAAGGTACTGCAGGCACAGTAGTGCCCTCTGGTTTGGGCCATGTCTGTGTCTCGGTGGTGGTTCTCACACGCCCTCCCAATAGTCCTTAACCACTTCCTTCAGTCTCCTTCTGGAGCGGGTCTTCTGCCCCAGCCTGGGCTGGGGCCTCTCAGGAGCTCGCCTGACCTTGTCTAGTCCTGAGCTGGGCAGCTGTGGCCTGAGCTGACTTTCTAGCCGGGTTCCCCAGGGATGGGTGGCCGGGAGCGGACTCACCTCCCAGAGAGGGCCTGGGTGCTGATCTGGTACTGCAGAGGAACAGCTGCCAAGCTGTGTTTGGCTTCTGGAACCCCCTCCCTCCGCCACAGTCCCAGCCCACCTTCACCCCCAGTATTCTGATGGGGAGACCAGGTCTTGCTTTGCTTCAAGACCGACTGTTTTACTGTACTCACTCACCACAGTGGCCATTCTTCGTCCAGGGAGAATCTTCGGGGGCTGGGACACCCCTGGCCCTCAAGCTGGGTTATGTTTACAGTTCTCAGTGCCCCACACTGGGGACCACTGAGGACACATATGCCCTAACCTGTATTTCCCCAGAGGGTTCCCCTTGGTGACAGTGGGACTTGGTCCTGAGGCCCTTTCCTGCTGTCTTTGGAGACCCTGGGGCTTGGGGAAGAATGAGGGGTGTCTGTGTGTGTCTACAATCACCAGCTCACTGCTGGCTCAGTTGACTGGGGCTACAGTTTTAATTTAATTTTTAATACTTAGGGTGTTTTCACTGCTTTTGTTTCTTGTTAGCTGGTGGGAGGGGATGAGGTGCCCCAGCTCTGGGCTTGGCTGAGGGTTGGCACTGCCCCCAGGGAGAGGGTCAGGAGCCTTGGCTGAAGACAAAGGCACCTCAAGAATCTCACCTGGTTCTCTACCTTCTTCCCAGCAAGTCCTGTTCTCCTGACAGATGCCTCTGGGGTCTTTGTACGCTTCCCACCCCCCTCCTTTCCAAGTCCTGAATGGAAGGGGTGGGGATGGCTGCTCTCGTCCATAGGCTCTGGGTCTCCAGGGATGTTAGGATCTGCCCAGAGCCCATGTCCTGGCCACACCCAGCTGGTGGGGTGAGGTGTCGGCCCCCATCCTGGTGCAGGTTTACAAGCTCTATAAAGGTACAGTGCCTACCACTGCCCCCCTTAAGGCCCCACCCCCCAAAAAAGCACAAGATGGGGTCAGGCTGCCTCCGGAGTTGGGTGGGGACAGAGATATCAGGCAGCCTGGGAGGGGGAGGCAAAGGCTAAAATAAAAAAATTTGTCAAGTGATGGCTGATTGTGTCATTTTTCCCCATCAGAATCCTTCATTGCAGAGCAGACCCTACAGGAGAAGTGACTAGTGTATGCTGAGTGCCCATGGCTGATGCTCTGCCAGGCACATTCTCAACCTCTTATGGCAGATAACAGCTCCATTTTATAGACGAGGGAACTGAGACTCAGGTTAAGAAAGCTGCTAAGTTCTCAGAGCTGAAAAATGTCAGAGCAGGGACGTAAACACCTAGAATCTTACGGAAGAAGGGCAGAGCCTTCCAGAGGAATACCAGGGGGGATGGAGTTGCCAAGTTCCTTTTCAGAGGGGAGAGGAGGCAGGGGGAAAGGTGAAGCTTTAAAAGGTAACTATGGGCTGAGGGCCTGACAGTTGGCAGGGATGTCAGGGATGGCAGATGGAAGGCTCTGCCCCAAAACCTGCCTATTCTCACAGATCAGTTCATGGTGGTTGCCTGGGGGCCTGGAGTGAGGAGAATTCTGGCATCAGTGCTGGTTCAGAGAGAAAGAGCCTGTGATTGATTAGTGATGTCTGCTATGAGCACAGGGTGGATGGTGGTGGTGCTCATGCTGTGTATCTTAGACTCATCAGAGCTTGTTTGCTGGGCTAATGGGGGATTCACAGATGGGGAGGGGCTGGCCCAAGGTCACCCAACATGACGGACCAGGCCCTAGGTCTTCCTAACGTGGATTCAGAACTTGAGTCACATGTCTCCCTAGCCAGCCGGGAAAAATCATGCACACTCAGGAAGATGTGGCTTAGAATGAGCAACCTACCATCCTCAGTCCACAGAACAAGTTCAAGAATAAGAAATGAAAGTATCAAGGTCAGGGAATCCTGCCACTGTGAGCATTCATTGTCTGCTGAGTAATTACTCCCACCTCTCCTGGGACCATAGCTTGACATGGGAGCTGGGGAAGTGGTTCCCCACACAGGCTGAGTCAGGGTGCTGCCTGTGGTATTTGTGACCACAACCTCTGCAGGGCCTGGGGTATAGGATGGAAGAAGTAGCAGGAGAGGGATGGGCGGGTGTGGTGTGTGTGTGTGTGGGGGGGGGTGGTCACAAGGGTGCCCTCACCTGCCAGGCTTTTTAGGGCTGGGATGTTTCCTCGCAACCCCCTGAAAGGGGGAAGGGAGACAAGTTGGTCAATGCTGGAGTGGTGTGCATCCATCTGCTAATATGTCAATGTTTCCGCCTGACTGAGGGGGGATGTTTGGGGCACATGCGTAAGGATGACTAAAACATCCCAGAAACATGACAAAGTAGAGGAAATTGTCCTTACCCAAACAGTGTTTGGGGCATATTGTATATATGCAGAGGGATATTCTGAGAAGCCACTTGGGGTAGGGATGAGAACCTCAAAGAGGGCAACCAGGCCAGAAGCTAATGGGCTGGTTACCCACATCCATCTACCCTAAATGGTTAGTTGTGCTGCTCCCACTTGACTTTCAGGGATCAAATTTAGCTGCTAAAGAATGGCTGTGTGACCAAATTTCAGCCAATGAGATGTGAATAGAAGGGTCTTCTTGCTTCTGAAAAGAGACACAGTGAAGAGCTCTTCATTGCTCTCTGGGGGTAAGTTATGTCTGATGTCTGGAGCTGTGGCAGCCATCTTGTGATCATGAAGTAGGCCATGCTAAGGAAAATATGCCCTGCTGGGTTTTGTACACACTTGAAGATATCCTTGAACTGACAAGTCAATGGACAAAGAGACTGCCCTACCCCTGGACATCTTGTTATTTGAGGTAATAAATGTCCTTGTTTAAAGCTTTGAGAGGGACTTTTTTTTTTCTTTGCAGCCAGAGGCTTCCTAATAGGTAAGTTTGAGTGACTGTAGATGTTCCCTCTAAGGAGCATGGCTCTAGGTGACCAAGTGTAGGGCTGTTGTCAGCTCAGTGGGGTGAAGGCTAGTGCTGGATGGTATTCCCTGGGACATCCTTTCCTTGGAAGCCTTCCATCTCCTCTTCTGAGCGAACAAATATTGAAAGAATAGCACTGCACCTTACGTTCTAAGAGGGGCGTCCCAACTGTCCACTCCCCCCAACCCCTCCCCAGATACCTTACCTCACCTTAACACAAAGTTGGTTATCGAAAAGTTCCGACTACTTGTCCCAATTTCTAAAATCGCGGCATATAAAATGAAACTCAAGAGCAGTAAAATGATAAACTGCTTAATGAAGCCCAACTCCAGATTTGCATTTTCTGATGAAGACTTTTTAAAAGGTGGGCCCACGAACCGCTTTTTTACTTAGGGTTTCATCAAAACGGTTGCCTGCTCCTGACAGGGGTCAGAGCCGGCTTGGTCTGATCGCACTTGGGGCCACGGCCACGGCTGTTCTTACCAGGAGCAGCTCTGGAAGCACTTGGGGGCTGGGGCCGCCGCCACTGCACTCCCTTCAATGTCCGGGGGAACTGCCATCGTTTCTCTGGCTATGGGGCCGAGATCCCAGGGTGGAGCACCCAGGCCTTCGGGACTGCAACTCTTTGGGGACCAGCTCTGCCGTCGGTGCTCCCACCCCCCCGCCCCCCGGGCTTGGCACTGAGATGCCAACCACTGCCTCCCCCGCCCCTGAGCTCCCGCGATTCTTCCCTCCCTGACTATGGTTGCGGGGCAGGAGTTGGTCTCAGATGCAAGCTGAGCCAGGCAGGGTCCTGGGAACTTCGGATTGGGAGGAACAGACTCAGGTGTGAGGCGGCCTGAGAGAGAGACCGTCTGGTGCCCCAGAGGCCGGCTGAACCTCCTGCCTTTGGATTTCACAGGGTCTCCCTGGATCTTCCCAATAAGCCGTTCGCACATCTCTAAGTGGATCAAAATTTCTCTCAACCCAGCTGTTCCCGACTACGCCAAGACACCCAGGGAATGTTTGTTCTGCACGCCTGTGCTCTTCTGTTTCACCAGGATCCTTCCAGGGGCCTGGCATACCCAGTGGGACCAACACAATGAAATTAGATCTGCCTCCCATTTACTGACACCTGGGACGGCCTAGTTACCTGGTGGTGGTGGTGGGGGGGGTATGGTTTAAAATGCAGATTCCTGGGCCCTGGCTCCCAGAAATCTGGGTCAGTGGGTTGGGGCAGGACCCAGGAAGCTGCATTTTGAGTAGGAAACGGAATTTTAGGGCCATGCTTAGGAAATGCTAATTTAATCTTCAGAGAAACTTCTGAGGCAGTGTGGTAGCCAGCCCTCATGATGGGCCCTGATGATCCTTGCCTCCTGGTGTCCATGCCTTTGTGTTGTCCCCTCCCACACTGAATCATGACAAGCCTGTGTGGCCAAGGAAATACTGTGGGAGTGACAGTAGGGCTTACAGATCTGGGTCATGGAAGACACTGTAGCCTCTGCCTTGCTCCCTCTTGGCTGCCATGTTGTGGGGACACTCGAGCAGCCCTGACAGAGGAACGGAAGCCCTCAGCCAACAAGCCAGCACCAGCCTGCCGGTCATGGGAGGACACTATCTTGGAAGCAGATTTTCCAGCCCTGGAACAGCCTCAGGAGATTGCAGCCCCATGGTTGGCAGCTTCATGGTACCCTCATGAGGGACCCAGGAGCCAGAACCACCCAGTTACACCACTCCTAAATTCCTGACCCAAAAGAGATTGAGAGGTAAACGTTTACTGTTTTAAGCCACTAAGTTTTGGCATTGTTATGTGGTAAGAGTCAGCAAACACAGGTAGATATTATTATGATCTGGTCCATTTTACAGATAAGGAAACTGAGTCTCATTGAAGGACCCCAGATTACCTGATAGTGGAGAGTCAAACCCAGGCCAGGCTGAGTCCAAAGCTAGTGCTTTTAACAACTACACACTGGGGGGCTGTAGATCACGGAACCAACGGTCTTATCCCTTCATTGTGGCAGATGGGAAAACTGACCTGGGGTGAGGAGTCACCTTGGCTAAGGTCACTCATGGTGCTGTTCCCTGCCCCTTCCCTACTGCCCTTGGGTTTACGGGGGTGACTTCAGCCTCCAGGGTGCCTGCAAAGGCAGCCCAGATTCTAGAGCAACATATACCCTGTGCCTTTAGCTATGGAGAGCCTGGCCTTTATTTTTATTTATTTATTTTTTAAAAAAGATTTTATTTATTCATTTGAGAGAGAGAGAGAGAGACAGAACACAAGCAGGGGGAGAGGCAGAGGGAGAGGGAGAAGCACTCCTGAGAGCCCGGCCTTCGGAATGATCTCTAGAATAGCCACCCTGGCAGTCATGGGTTAATCAGCCAGGTGAGGTCTGGTTTTTTCACTCACCAGTAGGTGATGGGAGATGGGGCTGTTGGCCCAGTGCAGGAGCTTAACTAGGAGCCAAAGGAGGGCAGGAGTAGGAAGCAAGGACCATAGCGGCCTGAGGGTCAGGGCCTATGGTAGAGGTGGGCCTGTTGCTCTCCTCTGGCTTGCCACCTCTCCAGGCAGATGGAGTCTCCTAACCTCCTAAGAATGCTGGTCTGACCATAGCAACCCCCTGCCTCACACCGTCCATGGCTCCCGGTACCCTCAGGAGAAAGGCTATTTCCCGCCATGGCTTAAGGATCTTCAGGATCTGACCCTCATCCTTCTTCCTTCCTCCACCCCACCTCAAATTCCAGCCTCTTTTGGACCTGTTTCTCCATGTTCTTGTCCCTGCTTCTCTAACTCCTATAGTATTTCATGTGTCAGGTGACATGTCCTCTCCTCCAGGAAGCCTTCCTGGATCTCACTACTCATACTCTCATGGTTCCCCATGTATCTGCCATTGGATCACTGAGCACACATAGGCACTCAATAAATACTTATTACCCAGACAGACAGTTACCAACTTTCCCCCAGCTCAGCTCTCTGCTCTCCCCTGTTCCCTGATCGAAACCTACCATCACCCTCCTCCAAGGCCTTCTCTGACTTCTTGTACCTTTCTGGTCTCTCCACTCCCCACTTGCCCGTGCTCCCTAGTTCAGCATTCCACATTTCTGTGTTTTTTTTTTTACTGCATTTTCCACTCCAGATGGACAGCAGCTGCAGACAATGTCAACACCAAAGATGATGGCCCAGGATGGAGCTTTAGTTCCCAAAGGCGGGGGCACCTGCTTCCGCAAGTTCTTAGGTGGCTTGTGTCAGATGCGGCTTCTTCTCTACTTCAGCCCCCACCTCCACCCTGGGGCCACATCCTGGGGATTTCTGCCTTCTGTTTTTCCAGAGCTGTGAACCCAGGGTCCAAAGGGTCAGTCCGTGGCTTTGCGTCATTTGAATCCCTACAACCACCTTATAAGGAAGGTGCCATTACTATCGCTTCCACTGTACAGCTTGGGAAACTGAGGCACAGAGCAGTTTAGGCGTTT